TTTTTTTTTTTTTTTTTTTTTTTTTTTTTTTTTTTTAAGTCATGACTGGTGTATCCAGCAAGACTAATCAGAAATGAATGTGAAAATGTGAAAAACATCATTCTTCTACTGTGGTTTCCACACACACAGAAAAAGATCTCACAGGATTTCTTCGGTGGAAACAAAGATTCCAGTTCCAAGGTGCTCATGTGAATAGGCTGTTGCAAGTGTTGCAAGGCTGTGAGACTCTGGAATAAGTTAGACTTTTGTAAATGTGTTTTTGTTAAAATTTTTATCACCATAGCTGCATCAGCAAAAAGTCATAATCCTCCCATGTGACACAAGTGAAATGATAATATGTTTAAGAATATACTTGCTATGGCTGAGACACAGCTACAAGGAGACTAAAAATGAAGAGACTGATGGAAAAGTCTTCTCAGGGAAGTGACAGGATTCTTCTCCTACAGTTCCTCAAAGGGTGAGGAGCATAGCCATGGCAAATTTCCCGATTTCCCGCTGCCTGTTGTATTCACCAAATGAAGTTGTCTGCTAGAGTGCTTCCAAAACATGACTCCTTTCAGCACCTTTCTCCTGAGGTTATTTTCATTCTCTCCTTTTGGAAAAAGGAGAGGCAGAGGTGGGGCTTGGGGAAGAGGTTTGCACACTGCAGTGATACCACTGACTCTGTCGCTGATACTCACCAGGCTGTGACTTGATGGTTATTAATAATAGACCTGTGCATCCCCAGCTACAACTTTGATTTACACCAGGCATGAGCACAGACCTTTCTGTCAAGCTGGCCGATATAAGCATGGTATAGYGCTCATGTCAGCTTCACTGACCTCATGCAGGGAGGCTGGAGGAGGTGTCCCTAGTGTCTAGCTCAGGAGCAGCTACGAGACAGTTGCCCTCACAAAGAGTTTGGTCACATCTGATGCAAGAGCTGCCTGCTGCACGGCGCTCTCCGGCTGCAGAAATCTTGGCCTTCCTGACGCAGTGCTCAACCAAATTTACCACCCCGTGAAACCATGGCTGCAGGCTCCTTCTCTAACCACTGGCCAACCTGGTGAGATGGCTCTCACCGATATCCACCTTTCATATGGCTTTCACACATTTTTCAGTACTGTATAAACATCCCTTTTCCACAACTCCTGAAAGGTAGGTAAATGAGATGTTGCTTTCTTTTGACAGGTCAGGAAAAGGAGAAAGTGGCTAAATAAGTGATCCCTGCCAGTGCACCAACCTCTCTTAAGTATACCAGGAAAGCACTTCAATGATGCTCACCTTTGGCTAAGGTAAAAGAACAATAATGAACATGTTTTAACTCATGTAAAAGCTTGAAACTTTTAAAAACGTGTTCTAACTTGCCATGTGTAGACAGGACACAATGCATTTTAACACGTTTGCTGGCAAATGCACTAAAATGCAACACACCCTGTCAACACTGAGAAATTGAAAACACGTTAATTAAAAGTTTTCACAGACACTTTTTTTTTTTTTTTTAAATACACCTTTATCCTAGTCCAGACAAGCCTTTAAAGAAAGTGAATCCAAGAGGGTTTTGGAAGCTGGAATAAGACACGAGTGTTTGCAGAATTCCTGAAACAATCTATGTTTTTCGATGCTCCCATTTGTGTACTGCTTCTCCATAATAACTCTCCAGAGCTTTCTAAACCCAGGGAATGCAGTGAAAAGTCTGCTTGTGCTCTGGGGTGCAAGGAGAACTTTTCTGTGTGCAGAGAAAGCAACAAGAAAGGAAAAAAAAAAAAAAAAGAAATATAATCAAAGTTTACACTGAGATATGATGTTCTCTATATGCCAATCTACCCTAAAGCCGTTTCTTCTCTTGTCTTCATCGTTATGCAGAAATAATGTAACATATACATAAGAAAGCAAACTTGCTTTCCCAGCAACTATCAGACTGAGATAGTTAGGAAATTTCATTCTTTTTTTAATCTGTATAGACCTTTTGATAATGAGAGAGCGGAACTATATGATCTGAATAATGTTAAGAGTTTCAAGTTCTAAAACTACCATCATATTATAAAACAGTTGAATATTTCATGGGGCTCTAAGTGAGCCCTGAGATTTCTTACTGACCCATCCATTCAATTTCTTCTAGCTTTATTCCAGTTTGGTGCAATGCTATAAAAAGCTTTTAAACTTACTATCACTCACAACCATTACAAACCCTTTACTAATATTT